AACAATTACGAGACATATATTTACATTAAAGTTAGAACTTTTTAATATATAAATGCATGCAATTTTGTATGTAATGCATGACATTTGCAATGTTTTGGCATTTTTATGATTTCAGTAAAAAAAAAAAAAAAAAAAAAAAAAAAAAAAAAAAAAAANAAAAAAAAAAGAAACAACTTTTAAAATATTTTAAATATTTCATACCTAGGTAACGTGTTTCTGATTTGTAAATAAAAATTACTCAATAACTTGTAGGCTTTTGAAAATCAAGAGTAGATTCACTTCCAATTACCTATTATTACTAAATTTTTGTGCGAATCAGCTATTAACTAAATGGGTTGTTCCCACTAAAAAATTGGTTAAAGAAAATATGCTATCCCACTGAAGTTATTTTAATCAATTTGACTGTTTTCATGATGCTTAGTTATATATTTAAATAATTTTTAATGTCATAAATAAGGATTTTATGAATTTAAAGTATGACAGTATTTAAAATGTATTTTATCTCTAAGTTGGTTTTGATTTTCAGAAAAGCCTAATGCACTCTAGCTGAAAAGAATTATGTTAGAGCTTTTCAGCGTAGTAGTGCTAAAGTTTTTACATAATGCAAATAACCATACCGTGGAGAGGGAGGGGAGAATCTAAAACTATCAAAGATAGTTTTTGATCAAAAACTATCAAATCATCTGAAGTTATCAAAGCTTTTTTTACTTTAGTTTTCGTATTTTCTTTTAATATAGCCCCTATAATTTTTCTTTCCATTTACCGTAAAAGATTTTAAATATTTTTGTTGTTGTTGATGTCGTATGCCTGTTTAGGCAGGGGGGGGGGGGCATTGTTATTGCTCTCCAGTGGCGCCATCTATGGCCAAGAATTTGACTTCTGCCACACCATACGTCGTACCCGTTTATAGGGCGGACCCATTCATACATCCATTCATTCATCCACAGATCGTAATTTTGACCTGAATCAGAGAACGATCGATCTCCAATCCAGTACCCCCAGAGGTATTGATTTTGTTATGGGAACATGGAGNGCGACTCGACAGATTTAACGTGCATCAGTCACTTTACTACACGGGAAGTCTTCGGCCGACTGGGTTCGAACCCACGAACTGTCGGACATGGGCCCAGTGCCCTACCGACCAGTCCTCTTCTTTCTTAAGAAACAACATACAATACGTAGGAGCTTATAGATTTATAATTTATTTATTAATAAAATTTATGCATTGAACTGCTTTAAATAATTTAATAAATTTCCATACTGAGTTATTGTCCTCATTTTTACCTAGAAATTGCTATAAGGGAATTCAGTGGCATATTTGCTGTTTAAAAATAAAAATGCAGACTTATATAGATGGCGTATTTCACTATTGACTAATCTAGCACAATTAACTTAAACATTAGCAAAGTTAGCATTTAATTAGTTAATATTACGAGTAGATTGTACTGTTATTTGAAAGATAGGATTACAAAATGAAAATTACTACTATGCTCATTAAAATTTCCCTAAAATGCACCGGAATGTTGTACTAGTTTCTATACACCCCTTGGGATCCCCCTCCAAAACCTTAACTGGTCATTGGTATTTCTCACTTAAGAAATTTATTTTCTAGATGACAAGAAATAAGTTGGTCAAACTTTAAAAGCTAATATTTTTATCACAGCATTTCGCGAACTCATTTTGAAACCTTCTATGCTTCCTTGGTCGCTTAAATTCTTTAGAACCTTAAAATCGGTACCTATAACAAATGTTTTGCTCCATAACAAATCGCCAAAGGCACTCAAAAATGATGCGATGCTTATTTTCTTACAGCTTAAGAATAACCATATTTTTTTTTACCGGACTTGAATTCGAAGGATTTGGCCGTTTAGTCTATCTTGAAGACATTGATTAGCGCAAAGCGCTTTAAACTATGGCAACTCTTAAAAATCCTTCAGTAAGGAGTGATATAAAATAAATAGTAGGTGATTTTGTGTCACATTCACAGTCCTGCATAAAAAGCAAAGGTGGTCACTGTAAAAATTTGTAATTATATTACAAGTTGTTATGTTTCCATGCTAATGTGAAAGCTTGCTGGGAATATTTTAATAAGTATGAAACTTTCATATTATGTGTGCCCAATTTCTTTCCTTAAGCAAATTCGTGGAATATAGGATACAATAAAGCTAAGAAATCGGAGAGAAAAGGTATAAATAAGGGATTATAGATAAAACAGATTTTCCATAGTCAACAGTCATGGGTGGTGCAGAAATTTTTATGTGAAAGTGAATCAATAATTTCTTGTCCAAAGTGAATCAATATTTTGCTATTTTTTTTAAGAAAAGTCCTATTTCTTGAGCAAAGTGAAAGCTCTTGTAGAAGAATGAAAAATCTTTTATCTGAAGGAAAGCTTTTGTAGAAAACTCTTTTAGAGTAGAGAAAGGAAATCTTTCAAAGATATGATTTATAATCTTTTACTGTCGATTCGCAATGGCCGGAACTCGGAAAAAGCTGGCCGAAACTCAAAAAAAAAAAAAAAATTTAATAGCTTATATGCACTAATTATTTATGTTTTTTAGTCAACTAAAGTATGAAAAATTACGTAAAATAATTCATTAAGACACTGTTCGAATTATTATTATTGTATTATCCATACGAAGAGTTTGGAAGATTTTTGCATTTGGAACGTGTCTTTTTGCTGTATACTTTTATCACATGTTACTTCAGAAATAGTTATAGTTCATTGTAATTATTGATTTTTTAAAATATTTTTGGGAGTTTAAAGTTAATTTTTTTGCTTTGACTTTTGAGTTTTTTTGGATTTTTTTTTGCAAAATTGAATGTTTCATATAATTTTATAATTATATTGTGATTTGTGAAAAGGAGATCCCATTTTTTTCTCTCGTTGATTTTAAAGAAACTAAAGAATGATCTATACAGAATCAAGAAAACCAAAAAATTGCTGCCTAAAGTTTCTCATATTGATTTTATCTAGAAAAATGTAAAAGAAAAGAAGGTTTAGTAATTTTTTCAAATTTTCAATGTAACAATGATTAAAAAAATAAACATGTTTTTTTTACAAATTACTTTCATTGAAAATAAAATTATATAAAGTAAATATATAATAAATTTCTACTTTTTCTCAGAAGTTCTGAATTTTAATATTCATAAAAACAATATTTTTAAAGCAACTAAGAAAAAGCTGCCCAAAACTGATACTTCAATTATAAAATTATCATTACATGGATTTTCAAAGTATTCAATCATAAATGTAATGTTAGAAAACAATACAGTTATTGCCATTTGTTAAGAGAGTTACAAATGGTTGTTACAATGTGCTTTGTAACAATTCCATCTTTAATCATCCGAAAATACCATCTCACTGATAATTACTATTGCCACTGATGAAAAAGACAGTACTTAATTTGTTATTACAAAATGCTTCAATGATTTAAATATAATTTTAGTTCCAAATCATTAGACAATTGAACGTTTTAGGCAAATTATTTTTTTACTTAATATACTTCAAGAACACGAGATCTAAATATTTGAAATGCTAATCTTACAAGGAAAGTACCTTAACTAGCAAGTGTCTGTCGAGTCGAAAGTTTGTATATAGATAGATGCTATGGTTAGCAAGTATATGCGGGTATTTTTTGACCAGTTTTAAAACTATAAGTAGTTTTAGACGAAAATTTTTCTCTATATGCGACACCCATTTCTAAAGTCAGAAATAGAAGAGAATTGGTGGCTGTAAAACGTCGCTTTTATACACTATCTACCAATAAGTATTTGGACACGTGTGATTGAAAAGAAAAACAAACTTTATACATAATCAATAGTTAGTAGAGCCTCCACGAGAGGCAATTACAGCGTGAACCCTCCGAGGCATACTTTCCACAAGTCCTTGTGTGACGGCTAGTGGTATTTTCTTCCACTCGGGTTGGAGAAGACATGTAAGTTCCTTCACCGATTTTGGACGAGTAGTACACCCCTTAATTCGGCGATCCAACTCGTCCCAGAGGTTCTCGATAGGGTTCAGATCTGGGCTCTGGGGAGGCCAGTCCATTCGATCAACGCCATTGGCCTCATACCAAACCTTGGTGACCCTCGCAACATGACAGCTGGCATTGGCGTCCTGGAAGTAACAGGGGTCCACCCCGTAAAACTGCCACAACGTAGGAAGCACATCGTCATCCAAAATAGTGCAGTAGGCATCTTGAATGGGACTAATGCCGATGTTGTTCCCTACACGATATATACCGGCGGAGGGCGTGACGTATCTCAGGACAGCAGATACAGTCATTTGCATAGGTGTCTAGATACTTACTGGTAGATAGAGTATAAGCATAGCTTTTATTCATGTGGCGATAAGAAGAATATGCTTACAAATTTTACACAACCTGCAAATTATTTTTATAAAAGAGCTTTTACTGTAAAAAGTTGCTCAATGTGCTGTATTTAGTACTTTGAGAAAAAGAATTTGATAACAAGGAAACTAAACAATTGTTTAGCAAATGATAACATGTAATTATTTTCTAACTAAATATTTGTTTAAAAAACTAATTTTGATTTTTAATATACTATTAAAATATTTGTGTTGCAAGCAAGTATTATTGAGACTTTTGTTTATTCGAAGACTTCTTATTTTGTTAAAAACGAAGAATGGCTATTGTTCGTCAAAATAAATAATTTAGCTGCGTTGACTACTTTTTTGTTTGAATTTCTTATAAATAGTTTTACCTGAATGAATTTTATTGCTCGTTTGGCAAAAAATTGATGACTCTCTTCAATTTTTTTTCTTTTATCCAAGTTGGTACTTTTAAAAATTTATATTTCAGAGACAAAAGAGAGAAAGGCAAAATTTTTATTACATGTTAATTTCTATCTTCAAGTTTTATTTGCAAATGAATACTCGAGAGTTACTTTGGGCACCTTCCTTGTTAGATTCAATTAGTTACACAATTTTTTGCTTTATTTATTTTTTACTAATGTTTCAAATAAGTGCTTTTTGCTTACAGCTTATCATTCTTCACTCCCGGGATCTAAACATTAGCCAAATAAACCTTTCTTCAATAGATGATTCAAAAGAGAAAAATTCTACTTACAAAATAGATCCGTCTTCTGTGCCTCAGAAACAACTGATGTTGGCACTTCTAGACAAACCATTGGAACCAAAGACGAAATATTTGCTGGATATTTCTTTCACTGGTACAATCAATAATAACTCTGTTGGTTTGTATAGAAGTAGTTATTCGGCAGACAACTCTACTGTCAGGTAAGTTATTTATTAATTTTTAATTTAAAAGAGATAACACTGCCCTTTTTCAGAATGCAATATTTTTTTTGAAAGCTTGTAGTATAGGACAAAATGAATAATCTTAAGACGCTGCAAAGGAGAGATATACTTGATAATGTAAAAAACTTCATTTCGCTTCAACATGTTTCGAATGCTCAAAAATAGACACTTATTTCTTCCTCCATTTGTTAAAAAATAGCCAATATCTCGTCCTGTTTTGATTTTAAAGTCATTTTCACGCCTCTTATCAAAATTCAATTTAAGTTCCTTAATCTTTAGGTTAGGTCCCTTGTTCCTTAATAGTTAGGATCTATCAGCGTTTAAAATCACTGTGGTATTTACCGCATTCCTTATCAATGCAGTCTTGGCTACAGTAGGTAAACCAGACGCACTTTAAAATTTTGATTAAGGGAACGCTTCATCAGAAATTCGATAAATTATATGTCGCTGTTACATCGTTGGAACCTTGGGTCTAGATTTTATTTGGATAATCTCAAAGCTCTTTTCATCCTTTTCACACAAGTTTATATTTATGCTCGAAATTCTGTTTCATTCATATAAATGCCGATTCCCTTGATAATGACATGATTACCTCACCATAGCTCTAGTTTTATCTTTCATCTTTATTTTATTTTTGTTGGCAACTTAAGGTTGTCTTTCAAAATTTTTGTTTTCCTCATTTACATCTGGTGAGTTCCGAAAATGGGTGCCTATTTTTGCGCTCTCGAAGCATACCAATTTCTTCCACCTTTAAAAGTTTTGAAGTAAAATTAAATTTTTTACATTATGAAGTACAGAAGGATTATAGTTAAAGTTACTCATTTTTGACCAACAGATAGTCCACTCTGCTTGACGTGTGTCGAGGCAATTACTAATGTTAATACCACCCTGTAAAAGTTATCTGTCATAATCGGAACACAAGACTAGATTTGCTTAGATTCAAAATTTACACAATGACAAATAACACCTTACAGCTTATTAAAAACTGAAAAGGTAAAAATAAAAAAATTTGTACTTTGATTACCAATAATATCCTAGAAATATAATAAATAGTTTGTGAGATCCAGATGAGACAAAGTGGAAAATTATACGCAAAAATATTTAAATAATGTGTTTCGTAACACCTTAAAGCCTTTAAAAAAATCAGGAAATAAAAATAATAAAATAAATTATACTCAAAATAGGGTCCAGATGAGACAAAGCGCAAAATTATGGTTTCATAAAAAACAAGATTGAAAAATGTATAGCTTCATATACAGTGCACCTCCCGATAGGTATAGTGGGTTTAGACTTCACCTCCACGGCTTGGGCATTGGTTCGATTCCATCTGCAGATTGAATAGCATTCATGCCTTAGTGCGCATGCTCCAGTTTTGTATTCGGTTTAACAGCAAAGATTAATCTCCGACCATTGCAGAGAGCCCATTGAAGTAGCTCTATTAGGAAACAACCAATTTATAAGCATTGTACGTTACAGAACTCCGCATTGAACTTTAAAGCTTATATTTTTATACATTTTTTTGATAAATGTATTATATATAAACGTGTATAAAAATTTGTAATTTCAGCTGGATTGCATCAACACAATTTCAGCCTAGTGACGCAAGAAGAGTTTTTCCTTGTTTTGACGAGCCTGGCTATAAAGCAACATTCCAACTCAACCTAGTTCATGATAAAAAAGCTGTTGCTTTATCTAATATGCCAATTCGGGAAAAAATAACTATGTAAGCTGAATTTGTAATACTTCCAAATGTAAAGTTTTATAATCTTTGTGTAAAATTTTATTTCAAGGAAAATATCAATGTAAGATGAGTTTTTATTACTCCTACAGCTTATAACTTTTTTTTGTTTTAGCCTATTGCGGTACAGATAACTTTTTGTATAAATTTTTTTTAAAAATTTATAATCTATTTAATCTGCCAAATTAAATATCTGAAAAATGAAATTTCAAAATGCATTTATTTTGCCACGATAAGACCACTGATATATTTTTTTTTGTGTTGGGAAAAATAGCATTATTTAAAATACAAAAGCGCGTCATATTTCAAAAGTTTAATTATTTCTTAAAGTTTTATAGTATTTCATTTGCTTAAGTTAGCCCTGCCTTGAAATGATAGTTTAAAAATTTTTTTAACTTTCGCGTTAAGCGTAACCTTTTGCGTTTTTTTGTAAAACCTTCAAAAAGAAGTATTTAAAATTTTTAGATTAAAATAAATCAATTTTTTATTGCTTATTCTGATTATGAGATATTTATAGATTATGTTTGCAAGATTTCATAGTGAAACTCTTATTCTTAAGCTACGAATTCAATTTTATTTTGCCATCATCATTAGGTGAATAGTGTATTCAAATAGCTGATAGTAGATTAAAATGTTTAGCTTCATAATCTTGTAGTTTTGAACTAAGTACTTTTGAGCTAAAAACTTTCTTGTAGTACTGAACTAAGAGGACGAGAGAATTTTTGAGTCACATTTTGATACTCTGATGTCAAATAATCAGGAAATTTGAAAACATTACGATCTAACGCCGTAACGATAAATGTAAAGTTAAACAAATTGTTAAGAGGAATATTGTTCTTAACTTATCATTTGAGTCTTGTTTGAGAGAAAATTTTTTTTCTTATGAATTATATATCATTTGCACTGATGAAAAATACTTTCTAACAAATTTGCGTTAAATCTTTTTTAAAAGTCAATTTCAGTCTAATATTTAGTTCATAGCATTCGATAATTAAAATCAGTACATGTTTCTACAATTGAATCACTTCAGAAAACAAATATTAATTCAAAAAGGGACAAAATATTAATTTAAAAAGAAAAGAATGCGAGCATACGTTATTATTTTATGGTAAATATATATTCCTTAACTCTTTAATGCAGAGTAGCTAAAAGTGGTCGATATATTAAAAACACCTACACAAAAAAAGGGTAGCATATATTTGTTTATGCAAAATTGGCATTTCCTTCTGATATCTACCACTTTCGTTTTAAAAAAGCACTATGCTTTGATTTCGGATCCAAATTCAAATATTTTTATTTTTTACATAGTATTGTAGTCAGAACTAAATTGTGTCTGCAAAATAAATCGTAATATTGAAAAGTTTGAACTACCACTTCTTTCTTTTTCGATAAACTGAAACCATTTTTTTTTTTTTTGAAGAAAAAGGTACTAGGCACAAACAGGTTGAAGCGAATAGGCTGAACAAACAATTAAAGACTTTTTCGGTAATTAAAAATGTTTTTCTTTTAAACTATACATTTTACGAGTAATTTCTGCGTTTTTTAATCTTTAATTACACTGTGAAGAATTCCGGATAAAATTATTGTAAAAAGTACTGGCACTCTGAGTGTCGGTACTTTTAGTCATAAAATCCTTTTTATCTGTAACATTTTAAGGAACAAAATGGATGATATAGCGTATTTTTTACAGTAATATTTACTGTGAATAATTATCATGGTTAAAATTGCGGTATAAAATTTTATGGTAAAAATGGATTTTTCTGTAAAATGTATATTACGGATGCTACACTCAAGGTACCAGTAATTTTTACTGTAATTTTATCCGGAATTTTTTACAATGTAGTACTTCCATCAGTAGAAATATAAGGTTAAAATTAATTTATGAATAAAAAAGAATATTAAATATTAGATTTTAAAATTTATTAACTAGTTTTCTTACTTTGATACCTTATAAATTATGGCAATTTATTTTTCTTTCATTGGGAAACGATGAAGGGTACAATTTTTAACTATTTTAGAATTTCATCACTTATAACTTGGAAATTTTTATTAAATTTGGCTGAAATATTATGATCTTTATGCTTCCTAGATTACTATATCTTGAGAAAATTTCAACCATCTACATCTTTTTGTTTAGATTTTGCGTTCTAGTTCTATTTATACTCATTTAGTTCTATTTTTTTATTCAGTAGCTTCTAAATTTTGAACTCTTGAGCAATTTTATTTTATCTTTAGTACTAATTAGAACCACAGTGTGATATTTTTGTACTAATCAGTTTTATTTTTGATAATATCTATCATGCTTAAATTTTTAACTTCGTGTGATTTTTGTCACTTTGTGTCATTTCAAACTGCAAATTTGATAATTCTATTTTTATTTAAATATCATATCCATTACGGATATGAGCATTTTATAAATAATACTTTTGTATTTCAATAAATATTTTAGAAATGCAAGAATGCAGAAAATCAGTGCATTTTCGGGCAATTCGTCCTTCTAAGTAGGAAAAATATGTTTAATTTTTGGTGTATAAAGTATTATCTCTTATTGTTTATGAAAACTAGGTTAATGTTTTATTTACAATTCATAAAGACATTAATAGTTTCATGATAAGCAACACACAAAGATTTGAAATTTTCTCATTCCGATTTTCTTATTTATATAAAATCAGCTTTTATATTTTTCCTTTTAGTGATGATGAATGGGAAATAACTTCTTTTGAAGAGACGCCAAGAATGTCAAGTTATCTGCTTTCCTTTGTTGTTGGAGACATTGCATCAAATACAGAAAACAGAACAAATAAGGTCTATCTTTTAATTTATTATGGAAACAAAATTTTTATATTACATTTTAATTTATTAAGTAACTATTTTTGCACAGTAGCATATGTTGTAAAATATGCTTCCGTGCAGTTACTTCTTTTATTTATTAATAATATTATGTAGAAAGAATTTGTAACCTCGCGAAAGCTTAAACAGAGTATCTCATTCATGCAAGAGGAAATTTTGGTGGGAAACATGAATTTTAAATAAATAATTGTTGCAAATTTTTTTTTGTTGATTTATATAGTACGCAGTATAGAGTTATATATAGAATAGTAAATCGTTAATAGTAAATCGTAGAATAGTAATCGCTTCATGGCTTTTCTGGGGCATAAATCAAAAATAAATAAATAAATAAAATAAACACAATAAATAAATAAAAAGGTCTTATGACTCTAATTTGTATGATTGGGAAGGAAATACACCAAAACGAGAAATTACATGTCTAGTAAATAAATTTATATAGCTCATCATGTTGTATAGCTCATCAGCTACTTTGAAAATTCCTGAAAATCTTTTTTATCTTTCATTGCACAAGTGGTGCACATTTAAATCATGCATGAGTTTTGGTACAGGCTTTTGAATTATACAACAAAACAATATAGCAAATTATATTCCAATATTTTTTCTTTACTAAAGGTTGATTCAGATAAAAATGTCCAAGTTATATAAAATCAATCTCTTGTAGTTTCCTGCCCATTTCGTTTTAAATTACGTGTAGAATCCAAAAGATTAATTTTAATCATAATTTTTGATGATCAGTGAAATTAAAATTAGAGCGTTTTAATTTTAAACATTTTTTTAAATATTTTTAATTATAAATGTTTCATTGTTTTTAGATTCAAATTTGGAGTCGTAAGGATATGGTTTCCTATGGAGATTTTGCTCTATCGATAGCCCCCAAAATCTTACAGTTCTTAGAAGACTACATTGAAGTTCGCTTCACTTTGCCAAAATTAGGTGCATAAATTAACTAATTACTTTCACAAAGCTTGAGTAAAATTGCTACAGTATTTTAAAAAGTTTTTTCTTTTAAATTTAGACCTCGTTGCCATTCCTAGCTTTTTACATGCAGCTATGGAAAATTGGGGTCTTGTAACGTTTGATGAGTCTGCGTTGCTATATGATCCAATGAAATCATCAACTGAAAATAAAGTAGCCGTAACTTTAACTATAGCTCATGAATTTGCTCATCAGGTATGTATTTGCTTTCTGTTGTTAAATAACCCGACTGATCCTAGAAAATGTTTTCCCACAATCCAATTCTATATAGGAGTTTAAAACAGAATTCTTAAAAAAAAAAATTGCTTCAACATTTAATTTATTTAATTCTCTTTCAAATGCTGAAAATTGTTATATGAATTAAAAAGTGAGATAGCTAATTTTTCTTCTTAGTATTGAACTTTAAGGGATTTGGTTATTCTTGTGGTAGAAGGAAAAAGGAAATTTTTTGAAATTTGTTTCAGGAAAAGCAATGGATTAAATCAAAATATTGAAAAAAGGTCTGTTCATCATGCAACTATACTTCTTGTAACTAGACATTTTAAAATTACGTGATTTTACCATTTTTCCATTGTCCGTTATCATGGTTTTGGTACATCTTGCCCACGGTAGTACGTTTCAGTAAAGAGTTTTCATTTAAGAGTTGGAATATACTTGAAGAGAGAAAAAGCAAGATATGCTGAAACCATGGTAAAAGAGGAGGTAAAACTGTGGAGAAAGTGGAAATCATGTAACCTTAATACGCTTATTCTATTTATAAAGAGTATTGTAAATATTTAAAAAATATCCTAATAATAATTCACGAAATTAAATTATGGCTGTACAGTTTGTCTTCGATGAAGTCATAATTTTTAAATGGTGCATTTGCGAATCCACAACATTTGCAATTTGAAGTTAGGATTGATTACAATCTTTTTTCCTTGCTGGGTAGAAAAGAGTTTGATTCGATAGCTAAAAAGCTGAACTGTCAGTGTGAAGAATTGGAGTTCAATCCTTAGTGGAGGTTTGAAGCCCACTCAGCTTTAGATCGATGTATTAGACCAACTACTTTTGGAAGTAAAGGTGGCCGGTGCGCAGTGATCACTGCATTGTCACAATCATGCCGTTGATTATGAAAGTGTGGAGCCTTATTCTTCATGATCTCCCGGCCCCCAACAGACTGTTGTGAGAATGATTTACCTTTAAGAGAGAATTAGAGAGAACCGGGTTGGGGAATATGACTAGGACCCGGCAGTTTGGACTTCACTACGGATGTCATTTATTTGAAATCACATGAAACTAATTTCAAACTCTCACTATGTTGTTTAGAGGTGAATGAAACACAGTGTTAGCTATTTGTTTGTCAGTGACAATGTTTCAAAAATCTTGATTCAAACAGTTCTGATTTTTACACCACTGATATTACTCTGCAGTTTCTAATTGCTTGAAAACTTATTTTTGGTTAGTTTAACAATCGTAACATCCATTTTAGATATATTTTTACCACAATTAAAGCAGGTTTTGTATCACGTTTAAAACCTCGACAGTTGGACAAAATCGGGTAGTTCAAAAGGGTACTAGCTAGGTCTACGTCAAGTCAAAATCCTTGACTAGTTGAATACATTGCCTCAACTGTAAAGGTTGGGCTCATGACACCTGCAGCTATGAAGGAAAGCATGATCAAAGTTTTATTTCGTAATGTGTTATATTTTAGTACTTTGTAATAACCTGTTAATTTTTGGTAAGGTCTTAAGTCTGATAAATTGACTTAATTTATTGAAAGTTACACATATATTTATCTCAAAACTATCGGTATTCCTTGATTTTTAAATCTCTGTATGTTTCTCAGTGTAGAAAGGTTATTGTACTTATAAAGTAGTATAAACAAATATTTCATATGAAAAGAAACGTTTTCTTTTCAGAATTTTCAATGTATATCGGTCTCATGAGATTTTGAAAATTCGAAAAGAGTTGTAAGAGATCGGGTGGGATATTTTATCCCACTCATAATATTTACCAGATTTCGTTTCCTCAGATTTCCAATCATTACAATAATTACAAAAAAAAAAAAAAAACACAACNTAACAAAAAAAAAAAAATCCAACTCTAAATTTATGTAGAAAAGTGTTTTGCTGAATATCGTACAATTTCTGAAAAGATGAAATTTTCAAGGAATGGTCTTAAATCTTTCGTCGCGTAGGACGAGATAACTCGTCTTCCATGAATATTTGCTGTGCTTTATTATTGTATTAATGAATATGGTTATTGATTGCAATTGATTATTATTTTTAAATTAAAATAAGCTAGTTTCAAAGGAATTTGCATTTTGTTTTAATTTTAGTTCTGTGTGGGAACTCTAAGCGCAGGGACAAAGGCGCATCATTGCCGTAATGAAAGTGTTATTTTTTTATTTCCATTATTAAATTAATATGCTTTATTGATTAACGCGACGAGTAATCTTAACTTTAATTTTATTATCAATCTTAAGGCCTTTTTTGCTTTTATACTAATAATGGAGAGAGTAGTGGATGGGGTTCTTAATAGTCAAAAAAATTATAGCAAAACGGATAATCCTCAGCGTAATCTCTGCATAATTTCGATTTTCTATGCATTTCCGTTAAAACTCAAAGAATAAAAATATGAATTAGTAATGCTTTTCAATTTAACGTTAAAATAATTTTAAATAGCTTATCGTTATTTAATCTTAATCACCTGAGATAGTAATATTTCCGTTAAAATTTACAATTTAAAAAAATTAACACTTAGATTTAGAGAAATATAGATTCGATTCTGCTCCTTTTAAGCAAAAATGTTCTGACTTTTCTGACGTTTTTAAATTTAGAGAGTCTAGTTTGAAATTTTATTAGCATGTTCTTTTGTGTTTTTTGTTATCCTTTTAAAAGCTCAGAACTTCTTGATAAATTTATTATAGGTACAGAGAGAATGGAAAGAGACCATAATTCATTAAAAAATAAATAAATAAATAAATAAATAAATAAATAAATAAATAAATAAATAAATAACGGTTAAATATTTTGTTTTTATTAAAAGCTAAAAAATATGAAAACATTTAATTTTGTTTCAGTGGTTTGGTAATCTTGTGACTCCTGCTTGGTGGGATAATTTATGGCTAAACGAAGGATTTGCTACTTACTATGAATATCTTGGCATCCAATCCTTTTTGTCTAAATGGAATATTGTAAGTAAAAAGTTTAATACCTCTTACTTTTTTCAATATTGCGTAATTTCGATTTTCTATGCATTTCCGTTAAAACTCAAAGAATAAAAATATGAATTTGTTATACTTTTCAATTTAACGTTAAAATAATTTTAAATAGCTTATCGTTATTTAATCCTAATCACCTGAGATAGTAATATTTCCGTTAAAATTTTAAATCACGATTAAGGAATCAAAGGATTAGGAATACAGGATCAGTATATAAATAAAACCTTATAAAAAATTATGTAAAAAATATCTCAGTCATTTTTTTTAATAATGATAGTTTAATTAAAATTTCTTATAAGGTGAATTAGTAAACAGTTAACCATAAAAAGTAAATAACTTATTCTATCGAATATTTTATTTCTTATTTTTCCGAATATTATATAACTTATAACTTATATATAACTTATTTGATCGAATATGAATATCATTTTTTATAGAATAACCAGATTTTCCAGTTATTAGAAAGATATTATATTCAACAGCTGATGGTTCTTGACCCTCAATGAATGGGGTGTAATTATAGCATTGCATTTTTAAATGGTTAATTGTGGGATCATCCACAAAATTACTTCAGTACAAAAATGTAAAGTGGTGTTTATTTATCGAGACTTTTGGAACCATACTCAAAAATTATTTGATTAAAGAAGTCAAATTTTAATTAAATATTGACATGAAGGAATATTAAATATTGATAATGGTTATTTCCTTAACACAACTGTAATTTAAAATTTTCTATATATTGATCTGAAACTATTATGAGTTATCCAGAGCTCCATTAATAAAAATATTTGGATACTGTTATGAACTAAGTAGATCTGAATTTAAAAACAATATTTTTAATATCCTCTGCGATAAAATTTGTCTTTATTACACTAAAAACTTTCTATTGGTTTAGTTCTTTTCGCTTACCCTTTTTAAAAGTAGTCTGGTTAAAGTACACTACTCCAAAAATGTCCTGACTATTCTGAAATTTTTTTTCCTGATTGTTATCCTGATTTACCCAACTTTAATTAAATATTCTATTTTTAACCTTTAGTTCTTTTTCTGAATACATCCAGATATAGTATATTTTTATCCGTGTCTTTTTCTTTCTAGATGCATCTATTTATTTCATCTGTCTATGAAGTGATGGAAACAGATAGCTTATTGACTACTCGAGCAATGGGTGCTCCTGTACATCCTGACCAAGTTCTGGAGTATTTTGACTCTATATCATATTTAAAGGTAAGGTCAATACCCTTAGACTTTTTTCTTTCAGATTTAAATATATATTTGTCTTACGTGGCACAAAAATCGCAGTTACTTCTCAATCAAAGTTAAAAGGGAACTTTACTTCCTTTACTCATAAGCTATTGTTGCTTTTTGGAAAGAGTAGATATGCTTCATACTAAGAGAAAAAAGGTGATTTTTAATTAGTAACCTATATGCATGAAGAAAATGAGTCTTTTTTTTAAATAAAAATATTTGAGGTAATAATTGCGTAGTTTATTCGGAGTAATAATTTTTAAAAAAAAAAATTTCTTTGGTCATAGGATATTTTAGAAGTCGAATGGTGGCAATACTAGGTGGTAACACTAGATTGTACTACAACGATTAGATTTGAGAAGATCGATTTAAATTTATGAAGTATAAACTAAAGTGAAGTGATTTAAATTTATGAAGTATAAAATTTCAGTGCGAAGAATAAAATTAATTTGTAAAAATATTGTTATTTGTTCTATTGTCAAATTGAATTTCAAACTCATTTTCTTTCTCTGTAGTTTTGTATGCTACTTGCTTAAAGAATTTTATCTTTCTTTGCCTTGGTTTTTTTTAATAAAAAAATTAATTTGAACGATTAGGTTTATTAAATTTCAATCGTATTTTAGAAGAATTCGCCATCTTATGGGAATCATTGTTTTTATTTATTTTTTATATGAATTCAGAATCTGTCTGAATTCATTTAAAAAATGATTATTTGGTTTAGAAACAGTGTTCAATTATTGGCCATGATTACCTAAGTAAGATAAGAATATATGGGGTAAGATGGCGAACGTAAGCTTCTTGAATTCAGTAAATAGTATGAAAACCAGAGTGCTTTTGCTTTGTTTTTAAGCGGTGAAACAATTTTATTTCCTTTTGAAAAATGGCAAAATATTCCTTCCTTCCCTCAAAAAAAAAAAAAAAAAAAACTATGTTTGTTATATTATCCAATACACTGTTAAAAATTCCGGATCAAAACACGATATAAAAGTACCTGCATTTTGAGTGCATCATCCATAAAATCCATTTTAACCTAAAATCCATTTTCGCTGTAAAATATTGTACTGTAATTTTTGCAGTAATATTCATTAAATGAGAGTGATTCAGAGGTTTTACGGTAATTATTACTGTAAAAATTACTGTAAAAATTACGGTATATCAGATATTTTTTGTTCTTCAACATGTTCCAGTAAATATAGAGTTTACGGTAAAAAGTGCTAATAACCTGAGTGCCGGTACTTTAATTGGGAATTTTTTACAGTGAAGGGGAGAGTAAGATGACTAAAGGTGAAGTTTAAGAACACTAATATATGAACAATTAAATCAAGTTAAAGAGGTTTATTTTCAAACAATTTCTCATTCGTACTTAGTGAAAAAGACACAGACAACATTAAAAATATTATGTCATAATAAAAAATGAAAGAAATACGTAAAGAATTATGGATAAAAAATAAGAAAAACCATAGGTAATGAAGTTTATACTTAAAGTTTCCATGGTCCATGTTTTAATTCATTGTCATCACAGCAGAAACAGTGAATATGTGTCTAAGATTTTCACTTGAAACATTGATTAAAAGATATAACGGTTATTTAGGATTTATACGAACTCCTCGCCCATTTTCCCCACATCACTATTTTTGGATCTAGACTAGCATATCGGTATCCAAACTCATCGTAACAGCATAGCAAAAAATTCTGGATCAAATAGTGGTAAAATTTTACGAAAGAGAAAAAGTTGCTATATCGTAATTTTAACAGTAATATTAATTGTAAAATCACTGAATCACATTATTTAAATAATCATTGCTGCAAAATATACGGTATAAAAATTTACGGTGAAAAGAGATTTTGCGGTAAAATTAATTTTACAGATTCTGCACCCATGGTGTCCGTATTTTTTACCTTAATTTGATCAGGAATTTTTTACAACGCTCACACACGGTTTTTAAAGTTACGAATTGTAGTTCGAGAACATTTTACAGAGGAGAAAAAAAAACTACGGTTGACAGGTAGTTTCTTGTGCTGTGAAATCCAAATATTACAAACACAAAATAAAGAATTTGTATCCAAATTTTTGCATTTCAATCTCCATTGCTCGCAAATTGATATCAACTTATAATACTTTTAGTGATCTTCATAACCCAATATTTACAGGACAGATCCTGGAAATACCCTGGATAGATGCTGCTATCTATACTGCTAATACCCAATTTTTCATTTTACTCCACTTTCTCATATTTAATGTTAAACTTAGTATTCATTTTATACTTCTGTCACATAATGTTTATTAATATTTACAATTACATCAACTGTTTCTTTCAATTTATAAAATATGTTTTTCTGAAAAACTGTATTATATTTATTAATATGTAGGGTGGTGCCATTGTGAGAATGTTGCAACATTTTATTGGAGAAGATGGTTTTAAAAGAGGCATAAAGGTAAGCTTTAAATCAACGTTCTTAATAGATTTATTTGAAACTGATTTTTGATCATAAAAATCACAAGATTTGAAATAAATTATAAAAAGAAAAATTACGTCCTTCAATATTTAAATCTGTGTCTAAGCAGCTTCCCCCCCCCAAATATCTACAAAAAGAACGATGAATTAGATTTATTTAAAGGCATTCTCCATCTTGGATATTTAAAAAGGCGAAAAAGATCTTAAGAGTTTTATACGGATCAAGTAATGGGAGTGTTCGAACTCCGCCGGCCGAAGATTCCCCGTGTAGTAAATGGTGACTAATGCACATTAAATCTGTCGAGTCGCAAAGTCCTCCATGTTCCCATAACAAATCAATACCTCTGCGGGTACAGGATTGCAGATCGATCGTTCTCTGATTCAGGTCAAAATTACGATCTGTGGATGACTGAATGGATGTATGAATGGATCCGCCCTATAAACGGGTGAGACGAATGGTGTGGCAGAAGTCGAATTTTTGGCCATAGAAGGCGCTACTGGAAAAACAAGAACAATCGCTTCCCTCTACCTAAACTGGCATACGTCAACAACAACAACAGTAATGGGAGTGCAACATTTAATGGCTGAAATAAACTTAAAAATGATTTTGTTCTGCGACAAAACTCGACTTAAACCATTAATGCTAAAATTATATTTAAAAAAAAAAACTTGTATGTTAATGTTAAGTATTGCGAAACCATCTGAAAAATTTCAGTATAAGTTCTGGTCTGAAAACTTTATAATTTATTTAAGAAATTAGAAACTTTGTAAATTTTTGAGACGCTCTGCAAAGTATCAAAATTTCTGTACAAATTAAGAAAGTTTAACACAACTTGCTTTAACTAAAAATCGATTTTAATATAAATTAAGCAATTAAAATTTCATTAAACAATATTAAGAATTTTTTTTCTTCTACACTTCAAGAAACTCCTTTTTATGAGATTTGAAAACAAAATGGAGCTATTATCAAAATGAGTCTTGATAACTTCTGGTCCTAATAAAATTTAAAAAATATAAATATTCAAAAGTGAGTTGGGTTGAAAAAAGTAATGTGCGAGCTTTGTTGCATTTTTAGAATTGATTAAAGAGACACCATAGACAATCATGAGTAAGCCTGATACATTATACGTTTACTTTAAAGGCATTTTCTAAAAATTGGGATTTTCTAACTTTTTTTTGAATTATTCTATTTAAAATAGCTTTTTTTAATTAAAATATTTTAGAATAGTTTGTCCCAATTGGCCTATGATGAGGTCAAAGGGAAGTTCGTAGATTATTTATACTTTGCTTTCATCAATGATTAAAAGGATTTGTCATGGAAAAAAATCCTAATCTCAAGATGTTAACTAAAAGTATAATTATTGTAAGGCCCCATTTTTTAATTTAAGTATAGTTAATGCTTACAATTTCACCATGAAGCAAAATTTTTAAATTTTATACCTCTTTCTAAAAAGTGTGTTATAATTTTATAGTTGAATTTGTTTTCGAATGTTATTAATTACTCATGTTGGTTAGAATCATGTTATGAATGAATAATGTTATGAATGAAATATGTTATAAATGGATTATGCATAAATATTGAATGAATCATGTTATGAATCATATTTTGAGTGTTATTAATTTGAGTATAATTTAAAATATGCATTTTTGTTCCATAGAATTATCTTTCGAAATATTCATACAAAAGCTCCAACGAAAATAACTTGTGGCAGAACTTGAATCTTGTAAGTAGTGCATGATTATCTTGAATATTAGTTTGACACAAAATTAACAATCAGAATCAAATTATGCTAAAAAATGTACCACATCAAGATTGTCAAATTGGGCTGAAGACATAATTTATATCTTAAAATGTAGGGTGTGCGCTCATGCTCACTTTTTAGAAAACATGTTATACTTGATTTAACACGTTAAATGAATTTTGCAGTTTAATATAGTGGATATATTCTATCATTAGTACAACTTTTAGTTTAAAATAAATGCTATTAAGTAATATATTATATATTTCCATTAAAAATACATTACGGTATACATAAGTATTTAAATTTCACAAAATTAATACAAAATATAATATAGTAGCAAAATCTTTTTCTTTAAAAAAAGCATGTTGTTTTAATTGGAACATCAGCGCTTAATAAGTTCATTGAGTAAAAGGTCACTGACAATGCAGAATTGTATCTTTCAAAATAAAAAACAGTGTAATTAAAAAAAGACTTTTTGTTAAAAAGCTTTTCAAATAATTATCTTTTCAAACAAACAACTGATCAAAAAGGAAAGAATAAAAGTTTTTCTTGAAGTTTTATTTTTTTGGAATTTTAAACATTTCTTTAAAGTAAATATTTATAGAAACATTTTTTAATCAATTTATTCAAAGTTCTATTTCTCATAATTTTTCATAAAGCATAAAGTATGTTTTCATGAAAAGTTCGGAAATTCTTTTCCAAACTTTTACTAAGCTACAAAAAGAATCATAAGATATTCATGACTTAACCTAAAAATTTTTACATCTCATATTTTATCTAATTTTTTACAAAAAAAAAATGTGGTGATTATTACATTAAAAGTATTTATTTAGCTATTTGTGACCCCCCTTAATATTTTTTACTACTCATACTTGATCTAATCTCTCTCTAACAAAATGTTTGGCATAATTTTCTGTATAGAAAAAAATTTAAATATCAAATTTACATCAATCACATCAAATTTAAATACATATTTCACATAGCAATTTTTAAAAATTTTACTTAATACTTTGCAGTGGAACAGAAATAAATATGGCATAAGACAAATAATGACTACATGGACTAATCAATCTGGCTATCCTGTTATTAATATAATAAGGAATTATGAAAACAAATCAGCAGTTATAACTCAAGAGCCATTTAGTTTAGAATATGAAGAAGATGATGACGAAAGAGCCGAAAAGAAGAATAGCAGGTAATTTTATTTTTGATTTAAAAAAAAAAAAAAAAAAAAAAAAAAAAAAAAAAAAAAANAAAAAAAAAAAAAAAAAAAAAAAAAAAAAAAACAGATTATTAACAGCCTTTTTCGTCTGAAATATCTGTTAATAGAAGTCTATTTCGAATTAATAATTTCTTTAAATTCATTTTATTCTTTATTCGATTTATTTATTGCGTATTATATACTTAGATGATACTAAATCACTGTCAAGCCTCACATACTTAAAAAAATAGAAACAGAACAAATATTGTTGATTCATAAGCGAGGCGTATAGTGTGATTTTATTAAAGTGATTTGGGCAAATGAGTATAAGTATGATGGATCTTAGCGGCCCTAATATTTTTTAATGCACGTCACGATACATTATGTTTACGAGCTCTTGTTTTGATGTAAGCGCGCATGTCCACGTCATGTTGACGTGGTCATGCGCGCATGTTAATATTATTGCGTATGCGCTATCTACCATTCTTTTAATACTTTCAGCAGCATTGATGGTGGCCATATTTAGGGTTTGAATTATTTTTGAAGTATAATCAACTAATACTGCTTTTTAAGAATCTAAAAACGGTAAAAAAAATAGCCAGTCGTTCATAGACTGACGTCAACATTTGTAACGAATCAATATGCCTCAAAAGTTTTTAAATTAAAAAAAATATAATGTTATAATTTAAATGTTGATTTTTGAAATAAAATTTTAAAAATTCTCTGTAAAAAATTCGAATCGAAAATTCAAAATCCGGATTCGAGGTTTATAATAATGAATCCGTATCTATCCTCATGCTTAATTTTTCATCTGAAAGTGCCATTATTTGTCGAATGAACACATACATGTATTTTTTTAAAAAATTTTATGATTGATATAAGAGCTACAACACAAAATGTTACACAAAAGTTTCAAAATGTTACATAACTCTATCAAATAATTAGACTAGGCAACAAAAAGAATGATTCACTAATACGATGAAGTAATCGTATCATACGATACTATGATACGATTACTTCACTAATACGAAAACAACTAAAATAGTGATTCACTAATACGATAACTAATACGAACTAGTTAAAAACTAGTTTTGTTTCTTGGACTCGAATTTTTAACTAATAGCTGTTCAAAATAAGTTTTTAAAATATATTTTTAATTATTAATTTGAATATTTTTGTAATAATTTTTAATGAAAATAAAATATATCTTGAAATGGTTTCTGATGTTTATTTTGATTTGTACTCCAAAGAACAAATATTATCTTTGCTACAGAATCAAGTACTTTTACGACCGCAAACAATCGAGCCAATAGGTTCAGATAACTAGTGTTGAAACACATAATGAAGAGAAAATAACAGAAAAACTGTTATTCTGTTATTTTTTCTTCTTTGTGTATCCGAGCATTGATGCCTACTCGTTACAGTAGGTATTAATGCTTAAATTCATTTTGAAGTATCGAAACAATAGTCTGTCTTTGTTAGATACGTTATTTGTGCCCTTATGTTTTGTTGCTTTAGTCAATAACGTAGTTTAAAAATTCTTCGGAAAACCCGATAGTGAGCAACATTTAGTACCAGAAGATACTTTTGTTTCAACCTAATAATTGAAGTGCTGGATGCAATAACAAAGTAAGACCCTTTTCCTTATTTTATTACATATTTGACAATGGACAATATTGATGCTTTGATTAGGTCAAGAATCGGCCAAAAATATTTAGTTAGTTTTTTCCTAAGGTAAATAGTGTTAGGGAGTTGACCTAATGATTTTTTAAATTTCATTTAACTCATATCAACAATTTTGACTTACCTTGTAATTGCACTGATCCTTTCAATTGTTTTATTAAGTTCATATTGTAAATTGATTTAACTAAATATGATTTCTTATTTTATTTTTTATGAGATGCATTTATAATAAGTAAACTAAATATTTTAGTTAAAACTGTACTATAGTGTAGTATTTTAAACATTTAGCAGCCTTTGGACTGTGCCTTTAACATTTACCAATGGAATTGAACTAGATTGGTCAACTGGGACAGACATGTGGTTGAATAAGATATCAGGTAAATGTATAGTTATCAAAAATAATAAGAAAAAAGAAACAAAAATCACCAAGAATAACTTTTGATCTTATGATGGGAATATCATTTACTAAAATGCAATGTTAACGAATCGAAGGTCACAAATAAAATATGCCAATTAATTGCTTCTGTCTACTACAATGCGATTTAAGAAAAAAAAATCATAACTTCTCTGAAGAAACATATCTTATGTTTTTTGATAGTTTTAGATTTTGGAGCATCGAAATATGAGGCTAGTTGCAAATTTTAAAATAAACTTCGAAAGATTTTGTTATGAGAGTGATCTGATGTTTTAGCCCTTTAATGTTACTTTTAATGTCAGCATTTTTTAACACATCTCTGGAATTACGAAATTTAGCCAACTCTTGCTTATTCAAACATTTTAAATTAATTATTATTTATCATTTTTAATCATTTTATCTATTGATAATTGGAAGGATTGCTAACTGCAAAGCATAAAACTCACATAATATTTATTAAAGCAATTTTAAATGACAACAATATGAAAGTTGAACGGAACAGGTTGAATATTTTGGGAAAAACAAAAAATTTAAAATTATTAAATCTAATTTTTGCATACATTATAGATTTTGTTATTTGAAAAATAAATTTAGAGGTTGCTAAGTTTTTATGCCTTAAAATTCAATGATCATTATTGAATTAAATATTCATTATTGAATTTAAAAAAAATTCAAACTTATTTTTAATTTTATTAAACATTATGTATAAAATAATGTTTAGCTAAACTAGTTTTGAAAAAGGTATAATAATTATCCAATTTGATCAATTTGTCAAAAATATTGTAAAAATTCATGAAGCACTTTAAAAAAGACAACTATAGGTGCTCTTCGTTAAATTATTTGGATCATACTTTGTTCATAGCTAACCCATATATCTTAAGAAAATTTCTTAATCTTGCTTATTATCCGCACTAGTTAATTGGGATATTTATTATTTATTTTTTAAATTATTAAGACTGCATTTTATTAGCTAAATTTCTCTCATTATATCAAAAGCTATTCTTCGTACACGTATTTCTGTTTTTTTTCTTCATACTTTTCATTGTATGTAAAATACTTGCTAAATCACCTTCTTAATTTTTAGTAACTTTTTTTTGCAGTGTTTTTTTCAAAGCATTTTAAGCAACAATTATCCATTGATAAAACTCAAATGGCTCCAATCTTTGTTTTTAAAATCTAATATACCTATGTGTATTTTATTTCCTTTAACATGAAAAATATAAATATAGTATTCAGTGATATTAAAGTACATAAAGCAATTTAGAAAATGAATTGCTTTAAGTGATATTAAACAATTTACATTTTGTATACTTCTTGTTCTGGTACGCATTCTAAAATATGAATTTTTGAAATTTTTGGTTAGTCTGTGAAGTTTTTAATTGCTATAATGGCCAGTTTTTTTATATAAAAACATTTCTTAATTTAAGTTTTAACGGAAAAATTCATAATTTCTGATCTTTTCAAGAAGTAAATGATTCAAACGAAACTTTTTTTTTGCAAATCGACTTACTAGAGCTTCGTAGAAACTGACCTCCTACTATTTTTGCAATATTTTATAAATATATTATTTTTAATACTATTTTTTATATTTAAACACAGGTTGTTCCATAATGACAACTCTTGATTTATGTTTTTAGAATCATTGTTAAAAATGAAGTTAAAGAAGTAAACAAACTTAGGGACTAAAACTAATATTTAAGAAAAGAAAATATAAGAACATTATTGAAATCGAACCAATAACAAGCGAGAAAAGGCTGGACTGAAAGCACTGAAAACTGTTTGATTGTTGAAATCCGAATCTTTCGAAAAAAAAGTTGTTTATTCATAGAAATTACGTTTTTGTTTGATTTCGAAACTTAAAATAACGTCTGCATTAATTAATTAGCATATTTGAGGTTACCTCCTCAAACTATTAAGATTGAGCTCTAGAACGTGGAGATTTGATAGTTACATCAAAAGTTATTCAGGTTGGTTCGTGTTTTCTTTGGGCACTATACATAAATTTTTGGAATATACATACAAACATATATTTTTGTTTAATACATATGTTTTTACATTTCAGTTAGATATACACTTACATATGTTGTATGTAAATATGTACAAAAAGTATCATTATACAGTAAGCTCATTACTTAACATTGTAAAAGTGCATTTTGAGCTGTCCTCATTTTCCTAAACACTCATTTCGAGCTTTGTTTATTTTCGTAAACTAGCATTTCGTGCTAGATCTTGATTTAAAAGATCACCGGCGATTTTCTTTTGCAATCGATTTCATTCAACTTATTGCATAGCTATTCTTCTTAAACTCATATATATTCTTACTAATTTGCTGTGAAAGTTAAATCAAATTATGAAATAATTTCTTTTAAATTTCTCGGGATTTTTCTGAATACCGAATACGTAATCGGTATTATTTACTCTAGTTAAGCTAAAACTCTTCTAGTTGCGCACACATCTTGATATACTTTTTTCCGAAAACTTTTGGTTTTAATTTTTGAAATTGTCTTTTCCAAAAACTTAAATCTAGTTATTATTTCTGAAATTAAAGTAGAACAAAAATTGCTTACACGTTGGGAAAAAATGGATCTTGATATTTTTGACGTTGTTTATTATAATTCTTAAATAATTTTGAATTCATTTTTGAAAATGTAATCGAGACTGGTTCATATTTTTGAGTAATAACTTTGTTATAAGGAAACACGCCTCGAAAACTTTTTATTTAATCAAAAGTTCTGTTATTTTCTAAATAGAAACATGTATTCTGAATATTTTAATTGATTCTTTAAATCAAATTTGAATTGTTTTAGGTGAGTACTCAGATTTTCCTGATAATGATACTTGGATCATTGCTAATTTGCAACAAGTTGGATTCTACCGTGTCAATTACGATGATTCGAATTGGGAATTGTTGCTTCAGCAACTTCTTGAAAACCATACGGTAAAGAAATTCGTTATGGTTTAAACCAGAAATATTGCTTTTCACTAAAAACTTAAATTAATAACTTATTAACCATAACTTAATTTTTTCTTCATATAGGATATACACGTCATCAATAGAGCGCAATTGCTGAACGATGCTTTGAATTTAGCTAGGTAATTTCTTTTTACTTTGGCATTAAATTATATTTAAATTTTATTTTTTTATCAGTTTAAAAAACAGTATTAAAAATATTTAAGAATTTGATTAACTTTGTTCAAAATTATATTTGTTTTGTAGATCTGACAGAATTGAATACTCATTGGCTCTGAATATGACTAAATATCTATATTTAGAAGAGGAGTTCTTACCATGGCAAGCAGCTTTCTCTGCTTTTAATTACCTTGATCTTATGTTGGCTAAAACTCCCGGTCATGAAGCTTGGAAGGTATCTTTCTTTTGAAGTATTTTCTTTTAAAAATAGTTGTTTTCTTATTCAAATAGGTTTTTACTGTGTCAGATATGAGTTTCCAGTTTTTAATATCTCTAAAACTTCAAAATCAATTCTGTGTTCCGTAATCTTGCAATGGCAGTAAATGAATATTTTCTTAGCACTGTACTTAATCATTTGGACTTTTTTGTGCGCGAAAAAAAGTTTATCTATTTACTAATTATTTTATTTGTATTCATCAAATGTTTTAGAATATACAATTGAAGAATTTAAGGTTAAAAGCTAATAAGGGTTATTTTTCATTTTAAAAACATGGTATGGTCAATGATATATATAGTACTTAATGCTCTTTTTTGCCGGGTAATAATACAAGACGGTTTTAAGTGGTGTGTGTTCTGTAATACGGTTCCTGTTATTATTATATTTCCTAAAGCTTATGTTTCTAAATTCATTAAAATGTATTTAGAATTTTTTTCATTAAGCTCTTTAATTGTTGGATTTTTTTTTGAAATCTCACACTGTTTCAGAATTCGTCAGATTTTTGTCATTTAGCATTATGTGTCTATATTTATGAATTTTTTTAACTAATTATAATAAACAAAAATTTTCAATCAGAAATTTTTAGTCATTTTTCTATTGCACGATTTTTAAAATATTAGCGGCTTGGTTGATTGTGTTATGTAATCATATCTAATATCTTAATATATATAATCTAACGTAGTAAAAATGACAAACATTTTTAGGTTTACCTTTTGACATTAATGACGCCAATTTACAAAGAATTTGGTTGGAATTCGAAAATCGATGAAGATGATATACTTGCAAGGTATGGAAAATTTTTTTAAATAACTTAGTTCCATGTATGTAAAAGTTTATACCTTATTTAAAAGTAATAAAAAAGGAAATCATAGTTATCATTATACGATTTTTTATGAATAAATTAATGATTTTTTTATGTTTAAGTTAACTAAAAAATATTATTTTAGGTTCTTAAGGAAAAAAATTCTAAAATGGAATTGTGAATATGAAAATGAGGATTGTATTAAAGCAGCTTTAACTTTGTTTCGTCAATGGAAAAATGGATCCACGGAAAATGAAACGTAAGTAAAATTTACCTCTCTCTAAGTGACTTAATTAGTAATCATTTTAACGTTAGTTTTTACAGTCCCTTTTATAGAGGCTGTTCTAAAAATACAGAATGAGACAAAAAGTTTTTTTTTTCATTGTAAATTTAACATAATAATTCATAAGTCGTCAGAGTGCATTTTAATTTAGACATAAGCTCAAAATGTGTATCTTTAAAAAGGGACATAATTTGAAATGCGTGCTTGGAAAAACAGGTATAACTTAAAATGCGCGTTTGAAATAATGAGCGTAGCATAAAACGCCTTTTTTCAGTTTGAGGAACAAGAAACACAATTTTTTTACTCCTCCATTTCACTTAAAGCTGAAAAAACCCACTACATTTAAATAGCAGTGGTGGCTAAGGAGCGTTAGCCTTTCAATGAGGTGAACCGATTACGAATCCCAGCGACGGCTGGTCGATATGAATTCCTCACACCGATCACAGTTCAGCCGTTTGCGCATACAAAAATCATCAATTGTAGACAGATCATGGGGTAGAACCCCCTTGCCGTCAGGCTAACCGTGCAAGGTTTTCGTGTTTTTCCTCTCCATGTAACGCAAATGCGGGTTAGTTCCATCAAAGGGTCCTCCAGGATGGCAAATTTCTCCCAATATTTGATCAGATGTTCTCTTGTCTTCTAGCTCACAAGGCTACGAAATTGAACATTAGTAGTCGTGAACTGAGAAATTAGGTCGTCTTTTTAACGACGGTTATAAAATGAAAAACTATTATTAAACACTACGATTGATTCCCTATTTAATTCTTTCGAAGCACAATGATCATAACAATATATTAAAACACGGAATCTAATTCTATGTCCATTTTCTTAAATAGGCATTGCGAATAATGTCAATTTTTTTCTAACAGGCATTTCAAGCTAAGTCTAATTTTTCGAATGTGTATTTTTTCAAAAGCATAAATCAAGACATATCTATTTTCTTAAACGCACATTTTGAGCTATATCCATGTTTCGAATGCTCATTTCAAGATATGTTTTACGCACTTTCAGCGATCTACACATTTAACAGCATCCTAATCCTTAAAATATTATCAATTGCAATGATTACTAAATTAGCAATTCAAAAATAGATTTTCGAAATACCAAGAGGAATAGTGTTGCGTTTGTTTATTTATTTATTTATTATTTTTATTTAGCAAATATTTTAGTAAATAGGGGAGAGTTTTGCACCTTGGACAAGCGTGACTATTTGCACCACCTAGGGAAGGAATTTTATAAATATTAAGTGTAGCTTATACCTGTAACAACAAGTACTACACTGTAAAAAGTTCAGAAACAAATTGCGGTAAAAAAGTACCAGCATTCAAGATACCAGTACTTTTTATTCTAAAATTCAATTTTACTGTAAAATTTTACGGTACAAAAATTGTAATTCTTACAATAATATTTCGACCAGAATCACTATAATTAAACAAATACTGTAAAAAATGGTATAAAATTTTACGGTAGAAATGGATTTTACGGTTAAATCTATTTTACAGTAAAATAAAACTTACGATGATGCATCCAGAGTGCCAGAAATTTTACCGTAATTTGATCCGGAATTTTAAACAGTGTATCGGCTGCTTTGATGAGAATTTTAGATTTTCTAGGAATTTGTGCTTGAGAACTTTTTTTTTTGATTTTTAAGTTACTGATTAACTTTTTTCAAAATGGTTTGGTTTGAGCCGCAATGACTCAGGGGATAGAGCGTTCGCCTTCCAATGCGGCGAACCGTGTTTGAATCCCAGTCGATGCGAATTCCGCTTCCGGCCTGTACCGACCACAGTACTGACGGTAAATATCCTCAGTGGTAGACGGATCTTGGATTAGAGTCCCCTTGCCGTCAGACTAACCGTGGAAGGTTCTCGTGGTCTTCCTCTCCATGTAACGCAAATGCGGGTTAGCTCCATCAAAAAGTCCTCCACGAAGGCAAATTTCTCCCAATTCTCGATCCTGGAGTTCCCTTGTCTTCTGGATTGGGTTCAAAATTACAAGGCTACGGAGTTGAACATTAGTGGTCGTGAACCCATAAAGTTGGGTCAGCTGTTCAACGACGGTTATAAAATAGAATAAAATGGCTTGGTTTGAAAAAATAAACCCAGTATAACTTACATTTGAAAATCAAACTGAAGTAGATAAGTACCAATAAATCATTCTTTTTTAAATAAAATACTATAAAATATTATTTTTTTCCAAAAAAAAAAAATAATTAAAAAAAAATTTTGTTAGATGCATAACAAAAAAAAAAAAAAAAAAAAAAAAAAAAAAAAAAAAAAAAAAAAAAAAAAAAANAAAAAAAAAAACGTAAAGAAATATGCTTATTGTACTTTGGCTCAGCTTCTCTATTGCGTCTTCGACTCGACCAAAGTATGAGCAACAGGTACATTTAACACAAATATATTTCCTTTGAACTTAATTACCACAATAAGTAAAAAAATTATGCTATAAGTAAACGTATAATTTTATGAAATACTCCTTTAAAATATTCTATACTTAAAATGAGTAATATTCGAAGAGAAATATCTCACGATTTCAGATACAACATGAATTTGCTAAAAAAAAAAAGTAACACGTAAAAAAGTACTAAAAGGTCCCAGCTGTAGTGTTTTGTACAAAGTGGCATCATATCGTCAGGTAGGCTTCACTGCAATTTAAAAGGTGTTTTATTTGCAATAAATCAGTTCAATTGTATTATAATTTGCATAGTTTTGTATGTTTTTCGTTTTAAAAGGATTTTGAAGATCAATCTTGTTGTCTAATTTTTTACAGTGTGGGAGCAAGCTAGTGGAGGGATATTTTTATAAAATCCTTTACCAATGAGTTTTTCAATTATTTTGAATTCTTTTCAGAATTTCAGCAGATGTCAGGGAAGTTGTATTGTGCACTGGAATCGCTAAAGGAAATACTGACGATTGGGAATTCATGTGGAAACACTATCAAGACGAAAATTTCAAACCGGAAAAGAACATATTGCTAAAATCGCTAGCCTGCACTAGAGAAACGAGACTTTTGAGAAAGTATGAACTATTTTAAGATTTAATTACTTTATTCATTTACTAAAATAAGTATTAGGGGGAAAAGTGTACCAATAAAACCTATGCCATTTCATGAAATCACCAACTTTAATTTTTTTTTAATTAACAAACATTAATATTTATAAAACTTAAAATATTTTCCATTCATATAATTCAGAGAGAAGATTAGTATAAAAAAGTCAGTTATTTTACCATCTTTTATATTAATTACTTTATCCATTTACTAAAATAAGTATTAGCGTGAAAGGAATACTATTAAAACCAATGCCTTTTCATGGAATCACCAACTTTATTTTTTTCTTAGTTAACAAACATTATTATCTATAATACTTAATCACTTTTATTCCAAATCAACAAAATACTACGATAAGAGTATTATTGGATTATGAATAATAAAACAGACGCAGCCCTTATTTTTAGTTCAACTTTTGATGGCTTGTCCCACTTGGAATGTTAAACGTGAGTAAAATATTAATGCTAAGTTAAAAAACATTAACTTTCCATTTTTATTTTTAAATAAGCTATGCACAATCAAAAGCAAAAATTAAAATTTATTTAATTGCTTAGTTCGTATATTAAATTCAATGAATTAACAAACATATCAATCCATTTAAAAATAATTTTTAATTTATGATTGCAAAGCGAAACTCCGTAAATTCAATCTAATATTAATTAAAATTTTAATATTAATTATTTCAGGCTTCTTAAAAGAGCGATGAATTCTGAATCAGGTATACCTTTGCAAGATGGAAGTGATGTATTCATTTATATAGCTGAAAACTTTTATGGCAGAGATATTGTTTATGATTTTTTCAAAAATCATATGGATGAAATATCATTCAGGTAAATCATCCACTTTTCTAAATTTTATTTTACCTTACTCATCTATTAACTTTCTAAAAACGTAATTTTAATATATTTTATTAAATACTACTTGCAGGTTCGGTTCCTTTGCTTTTGCCGGTGGCAATATTGTAGATCGAGTAACAGCATCTTTAAATAGTGAAAATGAAATAGAAGAAGTAAGTATTTCAACAATGCAACTAAATTTTCATTAGCTATTTTTTATTTTTATAACTGTCATATAACAGCTGACCAATTTTGAGTTTACCACTACTAATGTTCCGCTCCATAGCCTTGTAATTTTGAACCCTATCCAGAAGACAAGGGAACTTCTGGATCAGGTATTGAGAGAAATTCTCTTTTTTGGAGGACTTTTTCGATGGAACTAACCAGTATTTGCGTTACATGGTTAGGAAAACTTCGAAAATCTCCCATGGTTAGCCTGATGGCAAGGAGACCTTTACTTATGATCTTTCTGCCACTGACGCTAGAACTGTGGTCGGTGCGAGCCACGCGCGGAATTCATATCGACTAGCCATAGCTGAGATTCGTACCCGGGTCATCTCATAGAAAGGCTCTATCCCTTGAGTATTTTTGTTGTTCGGAGAATCACTCAGTTTAGTTTTCATAGTTTTAGATTTATTACAATTATGTTCAGTGTTCCGTCAACGCCGCTCTTAATATGTATTTTTAGAATTCTATCAGCGATGAAAAGAGTGAAAGTATTTCTGATAATCTTTTTTCACCTTCTCTCTGTTCATTTCGCAAAACAAATCTGTCTTGTTATTCCTCTCTCTCTTGCCTTCCTAAACTGTTTCTTGCTTTCTTTCTTTCTTCTTTTTTTTGTTGCTCTTAGTTAAATAATAGTTTGTGATCCCTATACTTTTTGTTTTCATTTTTGATAGGTATTCTAAAAATGCAATTTTATGAGTGATTTTTACGGAACACGCTGTCTAAAAACTACAAATGTTCATGTAAATATTATTTATACTTTCTTTTTAGCTTCAAAGTATCTTAAAAGGAAGATATTCATCTTTACAAGGAATTCGTCACGCTTTGAGTAAAGCTCTTCATAGATCAAAAAATAACGCAAACTGGATGAAAGAGAAATATAATGATATTTATACATGGTTACAAGATAACTCTATTCAGGAGACTTATATATCTATATGAATAAGAACTGCGTTCTTCTAATAACATAAGTAACTTTTTTTCTCTGCATATAATTTATTCTTCATTTTGTTTGTCATTATTTCTGTGATTTTTGTGCATTTGCCAAAAGAATTGCAATGAACTGTTGAAAGTTTAAAAAAGAAATGGCTTAAAAAGCAAAAGGTTTTTCGAGGCGTTTTTTAATAATGAAACGAAAATAATGTTTGTGCTGTTTAAATTGTTGAAATATAATTTCTTCTTTATTATAATCAGTTTCAAATATGTGTTTTTCTTTTTGTTTATTAGCAAGATAACATATTTTGTGTTTTAAAATGAACTATGTATGCTTTTGAAATTATCGAAAATGAAGTATATAGCTTAATTTTGCCTGGATGAAAGTATTTGCTTGGTTCAACGGCAGACAACACAGTTTCTTTTCCCATCTCCCCTCCTTCCCCTCTCTCTTTATATACAGGGTGCTCCAATTAAATATAGCCACCTTGATTTTGTGCAATAACTAGACGCAAAGAAAACCAATGAGAACCAATTATATTTCTAAATACATATCTAAACTCTATATCTAAACACATATTTACAAGGAATAACTCACTCCCTGCTCCATCTGAAAAGAAAAAAAACATTGAATAAGTATAAAATGAGGAAAAAATGTCGAAATATTGCTACTTCTGATTATGTCTAAAATATCGGCTATATTTCATATGACGTAATATATGTGATGTTGCACACCATTTACTCATCCTAGAAGGAAAATAGCATTAATATTATGTCATCATATAGCAATTTCTTTTCCATTATACAGCTAGGTGAAGGTTCACTAATGGTATGGGAAAGACTCAGCCTTGGTGATAAACTTAACCTAATCCCTCCCACAGGCTGAATGGTGGCTGCTAATAATCAAAACATTATAGAAATTCATTTATTGCCATTTGCAAAGAGAACTAATGACTCAAGTCAAATTTTCCAGTAGGACAATGCTTCCATTTATGTTGCAAAATCATCATAGTGTAGGTTCTGGATAATATGGTGATTTCATGAATAGCCAGCCCTTTTACCGGAACTTCATCCACAGGAAAGCGTGGGGACATTCTCAATAGGACTGTATATGACAAAAAGGAGTAGTTTCAGTTTGCGGCCGAAATGCAGGTCACCATCATTGAAGCCTGGGATAATATTGATGCTAATAACCTCCAAGGATTAGTAAATTGTACGCAATATCGTATATTTCAAGTAATATGTAAACATGGCTGATATATTCGCTGTAATCAGAGGTGGCTTTATTTTGATGGGACACTTTTTCCTTTCATTTATTTGAGGGTTTTTTTCTATTCAGTTGCTGCACGAAGAGTCGTCGAGGAGGATATATATATATAGTGGGAGCAAGCTAGTGGAGGGATATTTTTATAAAATCCNTATACTCACTTTCAAGAGTTAAGTAGGGAGCAGTGATATGCGAAAAACCAGACAAGTAATACTTTGACTGACTGAAAATGAGGCAAGTAAGATTAATTTATTTATTCGGGAAAAATACAACTAATAGCTTACAGCGATCAAAACAATATTGAATTAGCATAAACTATATGTTGACGCCATATTTACATTATTCACAAAGTTATGTTTTAAATTGAAAAAAAGAACAACAAAACTCTATATCAAGTTGCACACCCATTATTTTGACACAGAGTGTACAGTTTTTGATTATTCCTGATATGAGGTGGTCAACCGCCTCAGAGTCCAATTTATTGCTATTCCTCTTTTAGAGCAGTTTCAAAGTCTGTGGGAGAAGCTGAAGTGGGAAGCATGCACCCACAGCTCTGATGAGAGTATTCCGAAGATTATCCATTGTATAATGATCCAATGACCACGTCATTTGTGCAATCCCCTCACTCTCCAAATAGTTGTAGACAATGACAATGGCAACTTTTCGAGAACGTCCATTAAAACGAAAGTAGGACCACCTGCTGTGCAATTTTACAATAGGGTCTAGGAATTCATCCCAATACCGTGCAGCAGTCAAGGAATCTCGTCTGTACATGCGCAGGATGGTGCAATATCCCATTGAAATTCCTGTCCAGACTACGATGTTTCTCCCGCAAAATGCGCGATATTCAATGCCCTTTAGCGTGAGGCTTATCTCCAGACCCTTATTAGTTTGTCATCGGAGGTAGGCAATATTTAAACTCACTTGAGAACATAACGTTGATCTAATCAGACATAGTCTTATTCACATGCTCGTGGCCCCCACTTTAATCGTGCCTCTTTGGCTTGGACGGATAGAGGAATATAAACTTATGGTACTCTGATATAGATTCCTTTTATGTGTAATCTTCTGTGAAAAGTAGTGGCAGATATCGTCTTAGCTATGGCAGTTGTAATCTTATGGTTACTACCTTTATAAAAGTCCCACGTGTGGAGGTCGTTCGTCGATACAACAGCAATAATACCTATCGATCTTTCACGGGGGTCGTAACCAATGGATCACTGGCCACAGGTCTTCATATACTTGCTTGACTGGTTTGGAATTATTTTCATGTTCGTGAGATGACGGGGTGGTGAACACTGAAGAAAAGAGTAACACCTGTGATGGATTATCTTGCTTCAATGCATTCGACTGCACGCTAGTGCTCAGAATCGTACATTCGTCTTCCTTGAAGCCATAGAAAAAAAAAAATTTCTTGAAAAAAATTTTAGATTATATTTTCTAAGCCCAATTTTATTTCAAACTTAAATGCAAATCCTGTAAATCCTCACTAATCCAGCTTCTTATACTACTGCATGATTTGCATATTTTTTGACCAGAAACCATGATTGGCTGTTATCTAATATATTTGCATATTTCCTTCTTCTCTTCCTTCTTCCAGTTTCTCCAACATTTTTCTCCCCGTGCTGAACTTTTGGATATATATATGTTAAGATAGATTAATTTTGGCACCTTATATATTATTTCTGTTTTGTTTTCGAGAAATTTGTTTCTCTCTAAATAAATCGGGGCACTTTAGCAGTCTCTCTCATCGCGTTGGAGTCTAAATTGAATTATACTCTCTTAGAACCATCATATCCGTACATTATTTGTAGTATCAAACGTATCAGTATTTGATACGTTTATTTAATTTTTATGTGACACAAATTACGCTATAAAGTATTAGTGTATGCTGAAACAGCAATAATATAATACAAGACTTCAATTTTTTGGAAACTGGCAACATTATACAATTTGACATTCATACATTCCTAATGAAAATATTTCCTAATTTATCACCTTTTTGCAGAAAATATTGTCGATATTGGGAGAAGCAATATCAACTCAGATGCTATGGGATTTTAAATGGTTCGTGTATATTTTTTAAAGCTATTCATTAAACGTAGGATATGACATTAGAATGTTATCGTACACCTTTTGATCCTTTGTTCAAAATTACAGGACTTAAAAAGATCTTTCCCAGCTTGTGTACTATGCCTAAATCTTGGTAGGACAGCTTCTGCGGAGAAATATAACGCATTACAAAATTAAAATTTATAGAACAGATCGTTATGCGTTAAACAGCATGTGCCATATCGAAAGAATCGTGGATGGAGCTCTCAAAAGTCATAAAGTGGGGGTATATTTCCGAATGAAATAGCCACCTACTATGGTAATAACAACTATTGAATCTGTAAAGTGATTGGCGAGTTTTAGTGTCGGCACTCAAGATTTAATTTCTAGAAAAAAAGAGTTTGCTTTATTGCAAATGGAACCACAAATTAATTTGATTTACATAAGTAAGTTTTGTATATCTTAAGAATTGCTTCAATGCGTTGAAATAATTGTGAAACAATTTCTGACATACTTTCGTTAAAACTTAAGTAATAGCTCATTTAAATTGTATAAGGCATATAATTACTGCTTTTTATCTGAAGTCACAGAATATTTAAATCTTTTTTCCGTTTGATTCGAAAAGCTTTTTTTTACATACAGCGTTAAGAGTAACTGATATTTTAAGTGCAACTTTTTAAACGCATGATTAAATCCAAAATGTAAATTGAACTTATTTGAAAATAAAATGCAATTTTATAAAAACTAAATTTTTATTAAATTTACAATACTGAATTTTTAATATAATTTTCAGTTATAATTCATATTTACAACCCTTTATTTGTTAAACTAATTAATACAGTTTTATGCACATTAATATATCACTAGTTTTAAAATAGTTTGTCATGAGTGAAATAAATAACGGAACGAGTTTATGAAGTTAATATTTAAAAAAAATCATTTAAAATTGTTTCTGAAATTAATTTTGAGAGTCATATGCATTAAAAAATGATGAAATTAATTTTAAACGTTGAATAAAAATTTCTTTTTAGCGTACAGCTAAACAGAAATAAAATTAAAACAAATTATTGTTTTTAATAAAATATAAAGTAAAGATGCAGTTTTAAGGTGTAATTCTACACTGCTTTCTGAATAGCCAATTTTTTGCAATATATGGAAGTTTATATTGTTAACAATAATGTATTTCATTTATGTTTTGTAATTGGAAACTTCTGCGAACTCAATTACCAATACAAACTTATGTTATACCCTAGCAAAAGCATGTTTCAGTAAAACATTTTTTTAAGCATGTCTCATTAATACCTAACTCTCCATCGTAATTTTTTTATTGCTTCATGAGATTATATGAAATCGAATTTTCCACAATATAGATTGAATGTTTGATATCTCTATTTTTGAATATTTATTTTATAAATATCATTTTTTTCTTTATTTTTGAGTAAAAGGAGAACATTAAAAGCTCATAAAGATAGTAAAAACAGCACCGCAATATTGTAAATTCAATTATTTATGCTTTCAGGAAAACAGAAATGGAAACTATATGGATAGTTCCTGTGCTATTTATTAATTAATGAATAAATATGAGTGCTGTGTTATCGCGAGGATTACTTAATATTCATAAGTTACACAACGCTGTAGTGCCTCAAAACATTCTTATCTCAAACATTATTGCAGTGACTAGTTCTAAAAGAAATTGAATTAAGCTATGGCTGCACAGCAATACGCATCCATATTTCAATGTATTGATTAAACTATGTACATTTAACTTAAAATTTGAAATCATGACAATTTAGCACTCATTTATCAGAAGACATGGGAATTACGTTACGGTTGCTCAGAAAAATGCATCAATGTCTCAAAATATATATTACTCCAATGATCGATATTTAATTCATAACTTGAAGTCCCAAAAGTTTGAGCAATTTTCAAATGAGGATA